AACCATTAATTTAAAACTAATTTTCTACTAGGAGTCTACAAGATCTAGACATTATATAGTGGAGAAATAGTAAGAAGTGGCATACTCAACGATCAACATAAAGCTCACAGTTTAGCAAAAATGACAGACATTAACCACATCATTACAAACATGATGGGTGCTACAAAAAGGAAGCACGGTGCTAAGGGCTTTGGAACAGGAGAACAGGAATAAAGATCAAAGGTCTCACAATGTGACACAGAACTGAGGCCTGAAGGGTGATTAGTTTAATCAGGAAAAGATTCATGGGATGGTGTGTAAGCAAATCAATACCAGAAAGTTTGGGGTTCCTAATAAATAACCTTGAGATAGTTATAACATTTTAAAGTAACTGCTAAAATGTGAAAAATTTAAAAGAAATTTCTCAAATTTCTATAATAAAAAGAATCCCTGGTACCAAAAAAAAAGAATAAAAAAATCACTAGGAGAGGGCTGGGGGATTTAGTTCAGTGGTTCCACCGCCTGCCTCGCAAGCGCAAGGATCCAGAGTTCAATCCCTGGTACCAAAACAAAAAACAAACAAACAAAAAAATCACTAGGAGAAAATGTCTTAAAATGGAAGACTATGGCGCTTGGGGGAGAGTTTGCAATATCTAAATGGGTCTCACTATGCCCTTAAAGAAGTATTACATCATACCTTATGAAAAATTATTCAATCTTCGAGATCACAGAAGAATATACAAAAGCCTTCTACCAGAGTGTAATTTTTCATCATTCAATGACTTACCCAAAGAGTGGCACTGTCAAGTGAGTATGGAAAACGGTTTAAAATATACTCAGAAAAGTACATTTTAATGTTTATATAATAAAAATTTATCACAAGTTAAAGAGGTTAATAAATGCTACTTTTAACATGTTGCATAAAAGGATATTTAAATCTGATTTTGAAACATACTATCATTATCCAAGTTCTAAATCTGGGAATTATCACACATTAGGCTGATATATTCTCATTGTATTTCATTAAAATATCAATGAAAAATTCATGTAGGTAAAAGTTTTAAATAATAATTTGGAACAGCCCCTCAGCATTAATACAGGTTTACAGTTAAAGGCCTAAGTTAGGCATACAAGAAATAATTGATAAAAATGTAAGCTTTCAAGGAAAGTCTACTGTAAGGACCTAAAATATTACTGGAATCCAAATAGTTATTTCTCTGCAATTTTCCCAGCGGACCTTGGCTTCTCCCATCTTTGTCCTTTTTCTGCACTTTACCTATCATATTTACTCCTCAGGAGTTCAGTTCAGGTCCTGTCTTACTAGTAAGTATAGTCAGGTATGCATGAAAGCTGTTTTACCACACAGGTGCTGGCCTCAGTATACTGCTATTAAAGCACTTATCACATTGTATAACTAACTACTGATTTGACTAGTTTGGGAGACAAACTCTAAACTTATTGGAAACAGGAAACATGATATATTTATCTCTGTATCCTATGAGGCTGAGACATACAAGGCATTTGGAAGATCTTTTATGATAGTAGTGAATATGAAACTGTAGTAAGAAATGTAAAACAAAATTGAAGTTAAAGACTACTGGCAAGACTAAGGAAGTCTTAAAAGCAGAAAGAGTGCTATACAACAACACAAAATTTTAAAACTGAGAAAGCTTAAATCTAACTGATGAAATTAACTCCAGGTCTAGAAATTACCTATGTCAGAACAAACCATTTCCATGTTATCTTCAAGACACTAGACAAATTAAAGATTTATCTTAATCAACTATGAAATTAATTAAAATTGTAGGACCTATACGTAGTAATGGAAGGCAAATAATGTATTTAAACATTAGAAGTCTTCACAGTACTATAAACACAAAATAGACTGCCAAAAGGTTAATTTCACACAGGGACTCAATCTCACCCTTTTTAAAGGTCTCCTGTAATGTTTTAGCTACAAGCAATATGTTCATTCTTTCCGGTATAAGAATTCTTAACCTTTTACAGAATGTAGTACTTTTTGCAATCAGTACTGATCTTCAGAGAAGCTGGAATGAGATATACAGTGTGCTATCTAATCAGTTTTCTTTTAGATCTCAATAATGGGAACCACGAACTTTCTCAAGAAGCATACTTATTATCAACATCTCAAAAGCTTAAGGGCTCTTTGTAATTATAATATTCTTTTTGTGTTTGAACTTTGCTGAATTAAAGATGCTGTACTAAGAAGTTGGGAGAAAATATTCAAATAAATACTATTTTACCTTAAAATAATGCAATTCCATATTTTAAAACATAACACAAGGGGCCAGGGATTTAGCTTAGTGGTTCCACCGCCTGCCTCGAAAGCACAAGGACCAGAGTTCAATCCCCGGTACCAAAAAAAAAAAAAAAAACACAAGTTTTTCAGACTCACACTTGTTTCTTTCAAATTGCATTGATTAGCAACAACATTTCAGAACATAACAACTTCAAGCATATCACAGGTCACTTGTAAAAAAAAGAAAATTTCCAGATTTTAAAATCAAGTTTTAACAGGGAAGTAGGAAAATAACAAAAATTTAACTTTTAATAGAGAAAAAAATTTTAAAAGATCTTTAGGGCACAAATTTGATGTTATATAACATGTAACAAAACAAAGACTCAACAGTTAAAATAGGGATATAAGGATAGCAGATGGGTTACGTCCGTATTTTTTTCTATTAGCCCTAAATTACAGAATGTCTAACACATAATACATAAAATGTATGAAATATAGTAAGCAATCAATAAAAGTATCTACCAACTTAATATTTGTAGGACTCATTTCTTAAATATCACATAAAAGTACTTATTCTATTGCTCTACTGCTAAATTATAGCCATATTCATATATTCATCTACAAAATATTTCCCACCAGTCTATTTCCTATCATAACTGATATTTCATAAACAAGTTCAAGAATTTTTGCATCAAGTTTAAGCTACAAACATTAGAACTCACTGAAGAATTTGTGAGTTAATTTGTTTGATTAGTTGTTTTACTGTTTTGGGGGTTTTTCTGTCTTGCTTTGTTATAAATATACCAGCAACTATTCAGAAGATTTGTCTTTTCATATATGAAGGACATAAGAATGACACGATAACCTGAATTTTAAAAGACACTCTTTTAATCTTCACCCTCCAAAATACAGGCATTCTTTTATCTACATATATACAGTATACCTTTTTTTTTTCTGTCAAAACACAACAGGGTTTTGTATTTAAATATCTTCTCATTTAAAGACAAGTAAAAGTTTTTTAAACTGTTTAAAGAACGCAGGCTTCCAGAAACATTACACAACAAATATTGAAAACCAAGCATACTTTCAAAGCAAGTAAGACTGAAATTTACCTGCTGTACAAAGTATTTGATTTTTATTCACCCTCCTCCCAAAATCCATATGGATAAGCCAAAGCACAAAATATACCAGCAACGATTTGGAAGGCATCCTTGGGTGTATTCAACGCATAATTCCAGTTTATGTGTCTTTGGTTGGGAGTTGGGGGTGTGAGTCATTCTACCCTATCTCAAGTCACAGAAGAAACAGTTCTATTATAAAAGCACAATTCCAGCAAACATAACAAAAGAATTTATAGTTTTGGTGTTCCTATTTAAATATGAACATGTTTCAAATTTCCTACTGGCATGTATTTTACAAGTTGATGTATGATCCATACATGCTACAATTATCAGAAAAAAAGCTCTAATCAACTTCCTGAATACGGAAATTTTTTTACAAAGCTAAAAAATAATCCAGCTCCAAACTCTTAATGTATCTCTTAGCATCACTCTTTAATCCATAACAATTTCTAACAAAAATTCTAAAACTTGAAAATTATATTAACGATTAAGAGGTCGGTCAGAAAACAAATGCCAATTTAGACAAATGTAGTTATTTCTTCAAAAACCGAGTAAGCACCTTTTAAGAAAGGCCATATCCAAAACTCAAAACTAAGATGTCAGGACTCTTAACTTTTACATGTCAGCTTTCTGTAACATTTAAGCCATTTGAAAATTACAAACCTTAGACAAAAACCTGTAATTCTGTGTTCTATTTTTCAAATACATATTCGTAACTGTATAAAAATTCTAGGGTGAACTTTATGTCCAAATAGGTATAAAAGTTTTACCCCATATTCAATTTAAGCTCCGTATGTGAATGGTCATTTACGTATCTTACCCTTAAAAATTGTCATTGGCACAGAAAAAAAAATCACACTTTGTAAAATTCAAAGTATAAATATAAGCTTTCCCAATGTAACAAACCGTAAATAATGGCTAAATCTCTTCAAATACACAGTAACAAACAGTGAAATAGCATGGAGAGGTACAGGTATATATCAGGGTCTTTAAGCTATGCAAGCTCAAGGACCCGAGTTCGATCCCCGGTACAAAAAAAAAAAAAAAAAGAATTAAACCTATTTTTCAATGTCGATGATTTAGATACAAAAATATTTGGTTACACAAGTAGGACTTAGAATTCTGAAAAACAAAAAGTTTTTGATACAGTATTCCCTCTGAGTAGCTATCAGACCTCCTGCTATCGAAGAAGGGTGTACAAGATCACACAGGTGTAAATCTAGAGACGACTGGTAGTTATCTTTGAGACAAACACTATATACAGTCCACATCTGCAACCTAATTTTGCTTCAGCATCCCCAGAGACTTGAAAAATATTTTGGGGGGTAGGTTGCAAAACAGTGCTTCCTCTTTTCTCATCATACCCCTGATGATACAAACCAACAGAAAGACAAAACCAAATCGCCAACTGCAAGGGTTGAATTTAAAACACACACACACACACACACACACACACACACACACACACACACACACAGCATCTTCCCTCCAACGCCCGAATCGGTATTCCATCCACCTGTCTGTAAATCCATACTACCACAATTAACACCACCCCTCTGCTGAGAAAGAAAAGAAAGAAAACAGAAAGGCAAATTAACGCTTTGGAGAAGTCCTTATTCTACCTAGGCATGGGGGAGGGGATGGCACAAAACAATGGATACGGAGGGGCTGGGAAAAAACCGCTCGGCCCCGAAGCCTCGGGCAGAGCCGGGGCGGAGGGGCGGGGAGTTGAGACTACTTTTGCTCGGTCCCCGCCAGCCAGCGCCACCTCGCCAGCAGCGCGTTCCCCCCGGGCGGGCGGCCTCCGTCGGCCACAACGCGCTTCCCTTCTCGCAGCAACACACCCAGAGCGAGCCGACTCACCAGCCCTCGGGGTCTCGGCCGGAGCAGAGCTCCAGGGCGCCGCGGAGCGCGAGGAGGGGCAGAGAGCCCGCCCGCCAGCAGACCGCGCCGCGCCCCGGTCCCCGCCCGCCCGGCCTCCCGGCAGCCTGGCCGCAGGAGCCGAACCGGACCCTCGGCGGCGCCCTCCCCCTGGCCGTCCCGCAGCCCGCGCGCCGCAGGCCCGGCCCCGCGCGGTGAGAGCCCGCGCTCAGCTCCCAGCGCCGGGCTGCCGCTCTGCGCGCGGCCGGCTCCCAGGGCCCGGCGAGCCGGCGACAGCTCCCAGGAAGGCGGCGGCGGGCGCCTCCCAGGGCCCCGGCCCCGCGGGCCTCGCCCCGGCCGCGCCGGCTCGCGCTGTCAGGGCAAGCGGGGACTCCCCCTGCCGCCAGCCATCCCGCCGTCCGACAGGCAGGAAGAGCCGACCGACAGCCGCCCTCAGCTTCGCCGGCCCAGGTTACCGTCACGAGCCCCGACTCCGCCATCCCGTTCGCCTCCTTCCTCCTCCTCCTCTTCTTCAGGAGCGACGCTGCCCAACCGCCGCCCCCCGGCCGCCCCTCCCCCACTCGCCCCGCCCCTCCACACACTCCGGCTCGACCGCCCCGCCCCACCCCTCCGGCGCGGGCCGGCCACTCGCTGGGAAAGAAAAGCAGGCGGAGCCAGGCCCTGCGAAGCTGCCCAATCACAGTGAGGCACTGGTGCCAGCTTCCTTCTCTCCGCCCTCTTCCTCTCCTCCGCAGCTCTACGCGGTCTCCCGCCCACTAGGCGCAGCTGGCTGGCCGGGCCACTGAGTGAGCCTCCGGCAGGATAGAGACGACTCCTAATCGGAAGTTAACAGTTGAAGCTAAGGCAGCCATAACTGTTAATGGCAGCAAGAGTTTCCTGGCTTCCTGTCTCCAGCGTGACGTAGTTTTTTCCTTCGTCCAAACCTTACCGTTACCCTGGGCAACAGCTGAGCCGACAAAGAAGGGGCGCATCTGTAGGTAGGCCCAAGGAGGGACCTTACGCGACCAGACATCCCGTATTCGGCAAGCTAATTCATACTCAGGGCTACAGGTTTGTTTTCCTGGCCCTTACTTATTTCGCTGAGAAGACTGGTCACTTACCTAGGTGGACAACAGTTTAGGGCTCCAAAACTCCCTCTCCTTTGCGGAAGTTGCATTTGGCACTTCCGAATAGGGTCCCGCAGAGGGGTGAGAATAGTCGCCGCCCGCGCCCCAGGTGGAGCCTGTTGCCGAGCGGAGCTGCGGCGTGAGGTGAGTGTCCCTAGGGCGCCACGCGCGCGCCCGGCTCGGGCCGGACGGTCCCCAGGGGGCTGAGCGCTGAGAAGGTGGCGGGCTCGGGGCGCTTCCGCTGGAAGGAGGTTTTCTTTCCGGCCGGCCGGGCGGTGGCCCGCCTCCCTCCGCCCCTCTGAGGCTCCCTGTGGGGCGAGGCCGCGCGCGCGGCGGGTCTCCCTGGCCTGCCTAGAGCAGCCTGCGGGGCCGGGAGCGCCCAGACGGGGCTGGAGCGGCCAGCGGGGCGGATCCCCTAACTCCTGCAAAATGGAGCTCTGAGCGCGCCTCGAAAGCCCAGACTAAGTACAGTACTCCAGTCCGTGACCTCTGGAGAATTCTAGAGCTTGAGGAATCTTTCCACGCCAACTATAAAAGAAAAAGATGATTCCCTCACCTCCGCGGCAAGGCCACAAGTCTTTATTTTCCCATCGCCTGTCTTCACCTGATTTTTCCACTTTTTTCTTGTCTATCCTTTCTTGAGTCTTTGTAAATCTTGAAGTTCTAGGTTAAGGATATACTGTTCTAATTCTAAGTGCCTGCGGTTTATTAAATAAGTGCTTGTGCCTATTCGTAAAACACCGTATATTATACTGCTTTCGCCAAAATTATGACATTATCTCGTGTAGTTCTTTCTGTAGGCTTGAGTCAAGAACTTTGAGTCCTCTTGATAATACCAGATTGGATGCCTAAAGCTTCGAAAAAAAAAAGAGCAGAACTTTCAGGTAAATTTAAAAATTGATTATACAGTACCTAGCCTATAGACAATAAGAGTGCAAATCTTACCTTCTCTACCTAATTTCTTTTTAATTCCTTAGCATTCGTAATCCAGGTTTTGTAGTGTGTTGTGGCAGTAACCTTGTGTGGTTTAGTATCTATGATTCTGTTATCCTTGGAGATGTGTTTCCAGCTTCTCCCCAACAGGAAGTAGTCTTCTCCAAGCTTATCTAGCACTTTTTGTATCTCTTTTTATGACAATCACTGTTATATGCAGCCCCTGCTTATGTTCTTATCTTCACTACCACGTCTATGCCTAAATAGAATGCTCTGTATCAGATTGATCTGCCTGTGATTTCACTCTGTACAGAATAGTAGTTTGGTAAACACTTAACTGAAAGATTGAATATACAGGGTGTTTCCTGGATGCCTGAGACACTGCCAGCCAATTTGTATGGATCTTCAATTTATCAGAAATTTAGCATAGTCCTGCTACTCAACTTTTTCTTAGATTTGCCCTCTGAATTCTTTCCACATGATTTTTCCCCAAATGTTTTATTAAAACCTTCATACAAGGCCAGGGATTTAGCTCAGTGGTTTAGCCTCCTGCTGCACAAGGCCAAGGACCTGAGTTCGATCCCTGGTACCAAAAAAAAAGTAAAAAATCTTTATACATTAAAAAGCTAAAAGAATACAACATTCTTATACTCTAACCTTATATCCAGCAGTTGTTAAAACATTGTGTGACATTTATTTCATCCCTCCTTACACACTGTTTTATTGTCACTGAACCATTTGGAAATAGGTTACACAGTTAGGCAGAGACCTCTAAGACTTCTAACATGAATTTCCTAAGAATTTTGAAGCAGTTCTGCAAAACACCGTACTACTGTTACAGCTAAGAAAATTAATAATTCTGTAATGTTTAAAACACAGTCCATGTGCAAATTTCCCAAATTGACTCAATATTTTTTATATCCTCTCCCTACCCCATATCCCCTAAATCAGAATCCAGTCAAGATTTATGTATTGTATTTGGGTGCTGTAACTCTTTAGCCTTAATGTAGAACTGTCCCCTATCTTTTCCCCTCATGACATTGGCACTTTGAAGAATTTTTAAGCCAATAGATTTGAGAAAAGTCCCCCCCCCATTTTTTTATTAACCAGAAGTTACTGTAGAAACTTTTCACATTTTTTGGAGGAATACTTAACAGTACTTTTCCAATCATGATTAAGCCTTCTCAAATGCAGCTTGTACGCTTGCCATGATTTGCTCGTTAAATCCATCCCACTTAGCACACAAAGAGTTTAGCATTTAATCCTGAGAGTGGATGAGTGGAGTATATATGTTAGTGTCCTGAGCTGGCAACACAAACTGCCTCCCTTTAATAAAATGTTGCTGCTATTTTGCCTGTAGTTGAAGCTGATGCAATGTAGTCTGCAACAAAGTGCACTGATGTCAGCATAGTTTCATGAGTTTCAACTCCTGGCACCCTGCAGTTTGTTGATGAAAGATGTGTGGGCCCTGCAATTCAAATACAGATGACTCTTGTTATTAAAGCATATACCTAGGCAACTGTTAGCCATCTGGCCACAATTCAATGTAAGTAATTTTTTTTTCTCCCTGAAATTCTCTTGCAAGTTCTAATTGGCCCTGGTGTTTCTGTGATAGTTTTTTGGTAGCATTAAATGGAGCTTATTAAAATTTGCAAAATCAAGATTATACTTAACACGAGTCATAAGGAACAGTCTCTAACCAATGGATACAGAAGTGTTTGTGGGACTTTTTTTTTTTTTGGTACTGGGGATCGAACTCGGGGCTTTGTGCTTGTGAGGCAGGTGGTGGAACCACTGAGCTAAATCCCCTGCCCTTGTGGGATTTTTTTTGTGATCACGAGAGGAAAACTCCCAACACTGCCAAGCTCATGTACTCTTCCTACCCTACACATATTTCATCATAGAAGATAAGTGAAAGAAAATGCATTTAAGGAAGAAGAAAATGGTCTTGGAGTGCAAAACTGGTTAAATATTTTTCCCGACTTCTAGGGGGCTTTAAAAAAATCTGCATTTTTCATAATAGACCAACAGATTTTGATGTTTCTAGCATCATACGGAAAGGTACATAATGTACTCTTATCAGTTGCTTTCTTTGGGTAGAAGGAAATTTGCTCATGTGGGATTATGGAACAACTTCATTTTGCTTTTTTTTTTTTGGTACTGGGAATCGAACTCGGGACCTTGCACTTACAAGGCAGATGCTGCACCACTGATTAAATCCCCAGCCCTCATTTTGCTTTTTGAGATGGGGGTCACTATTCTGCTCAGGCTGCTTTTGAACTCCTGAGTTTAAGCAATCTTCCTGTCTTAGCCTCCCAAGTCTGGGATTACATGCGCCATTGTGCCTACCTATAGGAAACAATTTTATATTCACTCCAGATTTAAGAAAGGCAGAATAACATATCAATTAAGAGTAGGTTTAAAGATGACACAAAAGTAGAAGGGCGACTACTGTACTATTAGACAAGAAAGGAAGAGCAGGGAGTAAGAGAAAAGGGGGATGAGTATCAAAAGATACTGAGACTTCATATGTTTTTTAAAGTTAGTAGGCAAAAACAAAAAATGCAAAAACAAATGTGTAGGTTTTAGAATCAGGCCTGGATTTCAGGAACAGGACCTTTACTAGCAGGGTTACCTTGGACAATTTACTCATTCTCTCTATTGAGGGCAGCCTTAAAACCTCCTAAGATTATTGAACAGAATTAATTCTAAGATGTAAAGTGCTTTGGCTTAGTTTCTAGCACATGGAATGTGATCAAAATTCAGTTATCATTAATAACTTCTGAAGCAGTCCAATTTGGGCACATAGTAGGCATTAAGTATTTAGTGAATGAGTGAATCTAAGACAGTTCTCCATATTTAATGTGGGGAACTTAAAGATTCTGATTCAGATATTTAGAGGGCTTTTGGAAAATTTATTAATAGCCCTGATGCAGATAGTCTGAGGACCAGGCTTTGAGAAAGAGTATGTAAAATATCCAACAGTTCTCTTTGCTTATGTATTTTGGAAATAGCTAACTAAATATCTCAGGTGTGGAGCAAATACTTTTTCTAAAAGCTAATAAACAGTATTATTAGGATCACTGTCCAGTATTAAATTTTTCAATAGTGGTTTGGAAAAGGCATTTTGGATAAGGAAGATGTCATTTTCTACTAACTTAATAGTAATGTCTGCTACCACAGTATACCAAAGCCAGCAGCAGCATCACAATTTACCCAAGTACAGTTCCCATTCTAAGGCCTAGGCACATTTCAGAAACTCAGCCCTGCGCATTTTATTCATATGAGTCTGAATTAATTAGCTAAATTGAGCATGTTGCAGCATTTTTCTACCAGCAGATGCCAGATAGCAAAGATAGAATAGATGCCAGATAGAATAGAATCTACTATAGTCTCCAACTGTATGACATATGTTAGTTGGCATCTCCAGATGAACACTATCAATCCACATTAAGCACTCTGCTAGCATGTGGGCAGTTGCTTGAGGGAGAGTGAACATTACTACTTTGTGTCTGTTGAAAAACACAGTCTTTCTGGGCTTTCCATTCCACCTTTTTCTCATATTTACATTTCAGAATCTATGTTTTTGAAATTTCATCTATCAGTTAACCTCAAGTCTTAGATAAGACAAAAGATAATCTTTTGTTATTAGTTATTTATCGCACTCTTGCCATAAGCACTTACAGCCTGCACCTGGCAGATTGAATTTAAAGGAGCTAATTTAGCAAGTATTCACAAAAGAAAAATATCCTTTGCTGTCCTTTACATAAATAAGATTGCTCCTAGTGTCTTCTTTAGTTACCAGGGGTTGAATTTTTATTTCTCAGTGCTTCCTAGGCTGGGCACATGCTCACAATCCCAGCTACTTTGGAAGCTGAGGTAGGAAGGTGATGTGAGCTAAGGAGTTGGAGACTAGCCTAGGCAACCACAGCCAGACCCCATCTCAAAAAACAACAAAAATCCCAAGTGTCTTCAGTGGCCAGGCGGGTAAAGGGAAACAGGACACAATAGTGAAGGCTGAAGATTTTGAGAGCACATCACTTCCCAGTCTAGGCTGTATTTTGCTGTGGGAATGTGCACTTGGTATAGAGCTAAAATTTGGATTTTATGTCAGATCTCCAGACTTTTAAACATTGACTCAAATACTTTTTAAACATCTAGGAAACCAGTAAAACATTTAACTGGATGGGACCATGGGCCACCAGTTTATGACCTCTGCACTTCTACATGAAAACATGATTGGTACACACTGGTTGAGAATCTCAAAATGTGTTAGAAGTCTTTGCTTTTTTGCCTCATTTCTGGTGCTGTGACTTTTCTAGGTTAAACAGAAACAAAAAAGGCATCCAAAGTTTTTAAATCTTGAATTCTATTATGAAGTAGATTTGCCTTATCATATTTTATTTTATCCCATTCCCCCCTCAAACCTCCTGCCTTATCATATTTTTAAAAACAAAATTTAAGGACACAATTTGGCAGTACATGCTGGGTTTTTTGTTTTTGTTTGTTTTGTAGTTGGTTGGTTTTTTTTCAGTGTACTAGGCATTGAATACAGCTATATCTATGGCCCATTTTTAAATACTGTATTTTGAGACAAGGTCTCACCAGGTCACTTGAGTTGCTAAGGCTGGGTTTGAACTTGCATTCTTCCTCCCTCAGCTTTCCAGAGTGTTGGGATAACAGACATGTACCACCACACCTGGCTCCACTCTTTTATTTTCATACAGGTTCTCACCAAATCACTAAGTTGACCAAGCTGAGCTCAAACTTCAATCCTCCTGCCTAAGCCTTTCTGGTAGCTGGAATTGCAGGCATGCACCACCAAACCTGGCCTATACTACTTTAAATAAGATAGGCTTTTAAAGGAAAACACTGTTAAATAGATCATTCTGTCTTATGGGCAACATAGTGTTTATAAAGATTCAAATATTTTAAGAGTTAAAAGATACCCTCATAATCTAGAGCAACTCCTTTATTATATATAGTGCTATGAAAATTGTACCTGGAATAATAAATGTTTGTATTTAGTATTCTGTACTTACAGGCACTTTTATATTCACTTTACACTTGAACCTGGCAACCAAGGACAGATACAAAAACATGTTTTTTTATGAAGAAACCAAGCTTCTGGTTAGTTAAATGTATTCCAGGTCACATAGCTAATTATCAGTGTGGTCATAGTACAGCATTATTCCCTATTTAAAGTATGAACATGAGTACAACTAGTTAGCTCCAGACATACACTCCTGTATCCTATTTAAAGTCCAAATATGAAATAAATTGATCAGAACAAAAAACTCTACTGCAAGCCTCTTTTTTATTTGTAGCATACATTACTGTCATAGCTTGTTTAAAACACTTGGAGCCCTGGGATAGTTTGCAACAATCCATTTCAGACTTTAAAAATAGGGTTTCATGCAATTAGGATAAGCTGATGAGTTTAGATGAATTAATTGCGGGAAAAAATAATGACAGTGGAGACCTAGTAACAGGTTAGGAGTAGCTGGCACACATTAATAAAGAGGGTAACCACATTTACTCATGCAATGGCTCCATGGGGCCCCTAGTAAAAATCAGTTATTGGCTAGGAAGACTTAGTGTAAGCTATGAGGACAGTTTTTTAAATAGATCCAATCCTGTCCTGAAGATTTTTAGAAACCAAGAGTTGGCTTTGCCATCCAAAATATGTTTTCATTTTGGATTTTAGTCTTGTCCCCTTCTCTGTCTGCCCATTGTGTGACCATAGCTTATGTTTTTTTTGGATGGCTAGGTAAAAATGGTGTGATCTAAATCTAATAGTTATGTTCAGCTCTTTAACCTTTGATCTTAGTCTAATCAGTATGTTCTCATCCGAGCTGTGATAGAAGACCTCATATAATCTGTGATGATATATCACAGAAGAAAATACAAGTTTTTAAAAATATTGCATATTTCTAATTAACCTTGAGACTTGAAAGTTATTTTTTTTTAATAATTTTTTTAAACAATTACTGTGGAGGTACACAATTTCAATCACAGCTACTCAAGAGGCTGAGATAGAAGGATTGCAAATTTGAGGTCATCCTGTGCAACTTAACAAGACCCAAATAAAATATAAAAGGGATGAGGCTGTAGCTCGGAGCTCCCTGTGTTTAATTTTCATACTACAAACAATAATAATACTTAGGGCTGGAAATCTAGCTCAGTGGTACAGCACTTGCTTGGTATGTATGAGGCCCTGAGTTTGATCCCCAGCACCACAAAAAAAATCTTAATGACATACAGAATTCATGATCTAAAATTAGTTTCTCCTAAAAGATTGCCTTCAGAGTGGTATCAAGTATGACAGACAATTGGAATGCTGAATCCACAAATTAAGAGGAAAAGGAACACCCGCATGTTGGTTAGGCCAATACACTAATTTAATTGTGATATAGTTCCCAAATTAAAGAGAAGGGGGGGAAATGTAGTCTGCAACATATCTGTTGCACTTAAGGTTTTTTTTTAATCTACCTAATTCCTCAGATTAACTGATTTCTAATTTACTTTTGTCCTCCTGTGTATTGGTCATAATGGCTTCAAAACTACCCATTCCCATCAGTGTTAAAAGAGCATATGTTAGTTCAACCTTCATTGGCTTCTACTTCTCATAATCTGCTCTCCTCTTACCTAACACCAGCTCAAATGTTGCTGTTCCCTCAGTGGGCTCCACACTAAATCTGCTTCCAAGCCAGCCTTCTAACTATGTGCTTTTGGACTTTTCCTAGATCTAGTTTTAGTCTGTTAAATCTGGTAATGTAAGTATTGGGGGATGTAATGAGAAGTGAGTAAAAGCATGGATGATTGAATTCTAAAATCACATTTTAGGGTAAGTTATTTTTAAGTTACTATGGGGTATAACATGTCCACATAGTGAAAGTATGTACATTACTTTGTATTAAACACTGCGCTAAACTAAAATTTAGGCACCACTAAGCAAGACTAGAGGAAAGAAGCCAAGAGAGATGTCTGATCATCTCCCCATACCTTCCTTCACTGTGGCTACTACTATCAGGCTTTTGACTTTTTCCAGTTTCAGAGACATAAAACATGTATTTGTAGTCACATCCACAAAAAGTTTTAGCTTAAGTGTTGTCACTTTCTTAATGAGATCATTAATTTTCCTGTTGAAATTGATATCCTACCACAGCGTTCCTAAATACCCATAAATGATCTTATTTTTCTGTAGTACTACCTTCTAGCATTGTTGTTTCTTTACCCTTACACCAGGCCAGAATTGACAAACTTATGGCATGTGTGCTGCAGCAGGCTGTTTGTATCACTGTAAACTCTAGAAGGTTTGCCATCACTGCCCTTGGCTATAAGCTCCCAAGAGCAAAGGTTTTGCTTTTTGTCGTTTTTGTTCACTGATGAACAGTGGCTGACACATGGTAGCCACTTACATACTTACTAAATTGAATGACCATAGCCTTTCAGCCATGGCTATTATATCTTTCCTTTGACAGTTTGTCCCTGGTATTCTGTGCATCTCACCTGACCGCTGAGAAAGTACTCTTGAAGCCACAACTACTTAGGGCACATTACACCAGACAAAACACCCACATTTGGCTAGTAGCAGGCCACCTGAAAAAAGAAATGTTCCTTCCTACTCTGGACTCTCAAAGTAGTCAATTATAAAGACAGTGTAGCCAGCCCAGTGCCAGCTGTCCGACTACCACCTTGGTTATTTTAGCCCTTCCCGTCCTGTTTCTCCTGCCAGTGCCTAAGGGGGCCTAGTAAAGCAGAAGCCAGGTAGGCAAGTGACAGCACTGGTCTCCACTTACAGTGGCAGCTTAGTCAGAATCTGAGGCTTGGTACAACACCAAGTTTCATTATTTTCATCTGGCCAAACTTTTGGTGTGAGAGGTATAGACTAAGAAAACAAAGGGAGGGTAGTGATTTAAACAACTTAAGATTTAAATATTCAGAGTTTCAGCATTTTGGCAATACACATAAAAATCCTTAGCTGCCATATATTTATTTCACCTTTATCTGTAATTTATATCCTTTATATTGGCATGTCAGAATTTATACTAAATAAGGCCTAATATTTTCATTGTTACATCTTTAATGGAGAGACTAGGTATTTTGATAGCAAGCAGAGCTAATCAAGGTCTGCACTATTAGCGGTGTTTAACCTGGGGGTGGGGAAGAAGTAATCAGGTATCACTGGCAGACCTGAGGAGGAGGAAAGAATGTGGTAGGAGAAGCTATGCATTCTAAGGAAATGGCATATTGTATTTACATCAGATTCCCTTTAATGATGAGTTGCTTTATTCCAGGCTCATTTCCTACTTCATCTCTCCAGTAGAGTGGTATAGTGGCGAAGTGTGATGACGAAGTTTTGAAAAGCAGATAGATGTTCCTGAGGAACTTAGGCCAGAATAATTTAAACAAAAGAGGGGAAGAAGCTTGGAGGATGGAAAATAGGAATCTTTCATTAGCAATGTCAAAGCAGTCCTGCAGGAATGAGAGGAGCAGCTTCCCCTGATGAAAATGAATCTGAGGGGGGTGGGAAGGCAGGCACCATGCCAGCATCACCACGTTATAAATAATAAATCTTTCTCCTGTGGGTTGCTGTTGTGAAAGACGTATGGTAAGATTACATCAGTATGATGAAACATCACTACCCGGGTGGGACTGTCTGGAAGAACATGTTTTTGGAAAGGGATCCTTCTGCCACCTCAGCCAGAACACCTTGAACATACAGTAGTAATCCAGGAACAAATGTCACTAACCAGATGGCATGTATGCCAGGACATTCCTGACAGAGTGCTCACGAAACATACATGATGGTCCTTTCACATGTAGTCTGTATGAGAGGGAAACAGTAAACTGAAAGTGTTTGTTTACAAGCCAGTTTACCCATTGTGCTGCTTCCTTACAGATTACAGCTGTGGAGGCACTTTTAGTATGCTTTTTGTTTGCAAAGAGAGTAAAAGTAGAAACCAGTTGATAGCTGCTGAGAAAGTGGGAATGTTAGGAAACATTTGCTCCTCTTCCTATTTGCCTCACCCACCTGTCAGCGGGTTTTTTAAAATATCCGTCTCCGGAGAAGCAGCTAGCAGTGAAAAAAGATGGTTGCATTATAAATGTATTCTCATCTGATATTAACAATCTTCATCTAATAAACAAAAGGTTTTTTGGGGTGGGCTGAATATTCAGCCTTCCAATTACCGCCACTAGTGATTAATAAAAATTATGTTTCTATAACCTGAACAATGATTCAATAAAAAAATAACCACAGGAAATTAATGGGAAAATTACACAAGGACAGTTAACTTTCTATAGGAAATTCAATCTCACTTAAAACTATGGTGGAAATCTCTCTGGTAATATGCTTTGGGAATTGTGAATAACAAAAACAATTTCTTGTTGAAGGAAAACTGACTGTCGACAACATGGCAGATGTGAAGTCAACGTTCCGAGAGGTTCTTCCAAAACAAGGTACCTACATCATAGATATGTGGCTCATAGGGTATTACAGAAACTTATCAAGTGATGATGTCACACAGCAGGCATTAACAGCTGCACATCTGCAGACTGTGTCCTTACTGTCAGACTTCTGCCGGGAGTAGTTTGTAAAGATCACTTTTCCCTTGATAACAGAATAACAAATGAAACATTATTTCTTATACCTAGAAATTCTGTTAAAGCCAAGAGTGCAGATTCCAATACGGAATTTTCAGTGAAAGTGAGAACTTGTCTGAAAATGGGGGAAAAGGTTATCAATCAGTAAGAAAAGCTGAAGGTTTTAAACATTAATTTGAATATTTGTTACATTAATACCATACCTTGCTTTACTTTTGTGCATTAGGTACATATCCTCCCAAACCTTAATTCAAATTAAACATCTGACACAAAAAGTTGTAGTTAAGGCAGCTTGAGTCTTCTATACAAAGTTGAAAGTCTGTCCTCCTTAACACTCCAGTACTACATTTGCTTATGGAGGTGGCTATGATCACTCTGGTCCTGAGAAAAATAGTCCAATAACAAGAGTTTGTCCACTGACAACAGATTAGGTTTTTAGACCTTCATTCTAGCTCCACATCTAAGCCACCAAATGACTGAGTTATTTTCACTGAATTAATCTTTATTTCTTATTAAATTTAGGGCAATTGTCTGTGGAAGATGTAACCACAATGGTGCTGTGTAAACCCAAACTTTTACCCTTAAAATCTATGACTCTGGAAAAACTGGAGAAAATGCAGCAAGCAGCACAAGATACCCTTCACCAACAGGAAATGGCAGTAAAGAAAAACAGGAAAAAGCCTACTGACTAATAAACTTAGCGCTTTAGAGCCACCCTACCTTACCTACAGTATATTAATAGCTAAAGTATAATCTGTACCTGTATGCTGAAAACAGTATTAATAAAACTGGTAATACTCATATAAATAATTTTAAAATACCAAAGATAAAACTTGTTAAACACTGCTTTGAGTTAACTTTGAACCAAATATTTTGGGATTTTCATGGTTTCTAAATTACAATTTAAATTACCATTCTCCACTCCTAGTACAAGTTTGACATAGGCACAAATAACTAAATCAACTTTTATGTAGAGCATTTTTACATGTTTATTACAAATATGAATCTGAACATAGTGTTTAAGCTTTTACATTACCTAATTAAAACATTTTTTAACCAATTTTGTGTGCCATGTCATGTTTGTTACCCTGCCTGACCAGTAAAGATCCTACCAGTAGTCACAAAACTAGTTTCTTAAATGTGATTAAGAAACTCAGCTATTTTGTAATTAGCTTCTAATTATATTAATTTCAAGGACTGAAGAATTACATGAGTATTTTTACCATCTAGGTATCAAAAGCTGAAAATGCTTATAATTATATAAGCCTGAATAATAATGGGCCTAAAGAAACTGTAAGACAAATATGAACATTAAATTTGGGGTGTTCTCAAAGGCAGTACCTAAACCTGTAATGGGTAACTTCCTAAGAATACTTTTGGAAATTAATACAATCTTGGTTAGTTTTGCTGCAGTCAGTAGGCAATTTAAATTATCAGACTTTGAGGCCTTACTGAGTAATTAGGCTTTGCAAAAAGGAGGTTAGTAATATAATCATTCTTTAGGTAACTTATTTATTGGTAATTAGTATTTTCTCAGGCACTGAGTAAATGTAAAGTTTTGAGTCCATGGAGAAAAAAATTTTTAACTAATTATTTAGTAACAATTTAAGAATGACAAGCTAGGCTCTAGAGGTCACATCACTGAAAAACAATACAATGTACATGTGTTTCTCAGTATAATAGCAGAATTTTTTTTTTACTGTTGCGTTTTTTAGAAGTCTGCAAGTGAAAAATCTACTAAGTTCAAATGTGCTTCCTTATGTGATTTAACATTTGCTATATGAAATTTAAGTTTTGTGTTTTGGGGTTTTTTGCAATGCTGGGGATAGTACCTAGGGCCTAATAGCATGCTAGGCAAGAAATTAAAAGGTTTTGAAAGACCTCAAATAAGTGTACTCTCAATAAAGAATCAACACTGCTTCACATGTTTTATTTTGTTATACATTCTTATAGAACCAGTTTCATTTTTCCAGTTTTGTAGAAAAATAGATGTTCCAGCCACCATTTACTTAACTGTCTAGTCTTTAAGACCAATCAGTATGTTCCCTGGAAAGATGAGTAAGTCTCATGACTCATTTTTTTAAATTCTTTAAGACAAAGAAACTTTTTTTTTTTACTCCCAAAGCACAGTATTTCAACAGCAGCAGCCAACATGGGGTTTAGCAGCTTAACTTCACCCCCTAAATAAAGCTTTGTATAAACCAGTGATTTTACTACAAAAAACACTGTCCTTGAAAGAAAGGAGTGGCAGTCAGACATCAATGCAAAACTTGGAATGATTAGGTCATAAACATGGCACTTACAAAAGGTAGCTTATTAGAATATTCCACTTCAGTGGTTACTTTTCTCTCTTTCCTTTCTACTCTCAAAAAAAAAACCTTCCTTTTAAAAATTCCCCTTAAAATTTATAAAATTTCAGAAAAGCCTTGTACCCAAAACAAGTGCTAAAATTTAAAAAAAAAAACCTGTGCTAACAATCTCTTACAATTCAGATATATATTTTTATAACACCGAAGACTGCAAGAGTTCTTATATTCAGTAGCTCTCTGGTTTAAGGCGACCTCCATCTCCTTCACTTACAAAACGCTTTCTGCCCCTGTAAGGAAAAGAACAAAAATATGAAAACAGACAGATTCTTACTATATTTAATTAAAAATTAAAGACTTGGAAATTTTTGGTTATATAGTTAGATTTGAAAGTTTTTAAGAAAATGATCAGTTGGGCTGGGGATTGAGCTCAGCGGTTCCGCAGCCTGCCTCGCAAGCACAAGGACCTGAGTTCAATCCCTGGTACAAAAAAAAAAAAAAATGATCAACATGTCTTAATTTTGAAAAAAAGACATTTTTTTCTACTGTGGTGTATTTTAGCAATAGATGTCAAATGAACAGCAAATCTGAGCAGTTTTTGTTTAAATAAAAGCTTAATTACTAAAATTCATTCTTATTGGAGTTATGTTAATGTTGAAACAAAACTAAGACATTTGATTTAGAATTTAATATTTATTTCTATCACATCATTGTTTGAAATTTACATAATAAGCCACATAGGAAACACTAACATGACTGAGAATTATGCAAGCTGGAACTGTGATAGATTTATCAAAGTATACATGTTTAAAAATTTTTCTCAGCTATAGAAAAGCCATTAACTAAATGTAGAAAGATAAATCAGAATAGTTAATTCTAGCCTATCTCCTATTTTGGGATTTTTGCCATTTCCAAACTGAAGAATCCCTTCCCTACAAGTAACCACACTTTAGCTACTACAGGTAGCAGCAAGAGCCCCCGGGAAACAGAGATAGTACAGAATTATCCCTTAATATCTGACCCCAGACCAACATGTACAAACATGTAAGATCACATACAATTGTGCACTTCACCGAAATAAGCAAAACCATGTATGATAAAAGTCAAAGTTGTTTGACATACACTGAAAATTTAGGTGTCTCCTCAAATGATCCTCAAGAGTAAAGCCACAGGGCTGGGGATTTAGCTCGGTGGTTCTACCACCTGCCTCACAAACACAAGGTCCCGAGAGCTCGATCCCCGGTACCAAAACACAAAGAGTAAAGCCACAATAGAAATCATCACACTTTCAAACAGAGGCTGAAAAATTTAAAAAGCAGTGCCAAAGGCCGGGGATTTAGCTCAGTGGTTCTGCCACCAGCCCCACAGGTGCAAGGACCCGAGTTCAATTCCCGGTACCAAAAAAAAATAAAAGCAGTGCCAAAGATATTGACATCTTACATAAAATGGTGTCATCACATGCCATGATCTGCATTTCCAAACATTTCTATCAAAGCCATTAAACCATCTCCCACTATTTTCCTTCAGCCTTAATGGTTTCTAAACTTTGTAGGGCATCAAGAACCCTACCAGGAAATATTTTTCAAAGATTTAACTTTCACAATGTAGTTAAATAAAAACACTCAAAGCATAAAATTTTTTTCAGAAAAACTACAAACACTTAAAATGTGCATAAAACTAAAGCAATTTTAACTGTTTACCCCTATTATAAGTTTTATTATTATTAACAACAAAAACCCTTACCAACTCAAGGGTTATATCCTAGTACAAATAATTACCTTCAAAGAAAAACACCCCTAAATGTATATCGATTTGCACATACTTTCTAATAGCCCCAATTCTCCATCCTGTGAGGAAACAGAGCAGGCCACAGTATGGGAAAAGATCCTAGGATTTTTGAAGCCTGAAAAAGTCTGAATTCCTATTTGGCCTCTACCATGTGTGAACTTAGAAAAGGTACGTTATACCCTAGAAGCTTCAATTTTCTCATCTTACTGGTGATTAATACCTACTCTGAAATAACACTGAAACTACTTTAAACAGAGCCTGGTACACATAACTATTGCACAAAATTAATTTCCCTAAAATGAACTGGGGCTTCATGAGGTAGTCCTGTACACATTTACTAGGGAGCAAAACAAGCTTCACTCATTCTCCATAAACTCAAAATGGATGGTTCTCGCTCTTTAGTCACATAAGGGAAGTTACTATTAAAATATTGTTCTAGGGCCAGGGATTTAGCTCAGTGGTTTCACTGCCTGCTGCATAAGCGCAAGGACCCAAGTTCGATCCCTGGTACCAAAAAAAAAAAAA